TCACCATTCACATCTATATTGTAAGACATGCAAAAAAGTAGCAGAGGGAATATATAAGCGATGTGAATGTGAAAATTCTCGAATAAAGACAAATCAGCGATTTGGTAGCAGGTAATTACAATAACTGTATTAGAACCAATTCTACATGTAAAATTATCCATAGCTTATTTGTGAGACGGAGCAGAGGCACAAAGCCATTTTCTGATAAAACCTTTGATAAAACCCTACCGCTACCGTTGCTGATAATCTAATCTAGATCATGTGCCTGTGACCTCTCGAGGTCACGCTCACGTGATTACTGCGCCATATATGACTCGTATCTCGTGCAACCATCTACTTCTTTGTTACGAAAAATTTTAATCAAACCAAAATAATAAGCTATGCCCAAATCTAACTGAAACAGATGGCGATTTTTATCCTGGACGTTCGGGTAAAAGTCTAAATATACTAATTTAGAAGATCATAAAAAATATGAAGATTAATTGTACAGCTCTTCAATAGCTCTCGTGAACTACCTGGCAGAGTCTAATTGTGAAGACTGGTCCTACATAAATTTTTTAACACTAAATAGTGTGATCCTTATCGATCTACCACCGTTTTTAGACAGTTGGAATGCTCTTGATGGTACGTGGACCAGAAGATTCCTGCGCGAAGTGATAGAGATAGACCGAGATTTATACAATGACATAAAAAATAAGGTAATTTCGTTTCAATTCAATTATGGAAAGGGAACTCCTGATCAGCTACCTCCTGATTCAGGGGTATCAGCTACTTCCTGGCCCAAGTGTTGGTGATGGAAACTTCTGATCAGCTACTTCCTGACTTCAGAAGCATCAGCTACTTCCTGGTCCTCACCTTCGCGATTCCACTTGCTCTCTTTCTGTTTGAATAATTGAGGTTCTGGATCAACGAAGAATATAGCCTTCTAATTGTCTATTTCATTACCATAAGGTGGATTCAGAGCATGCCGACTTAACTATATGTCATTTTTGGGAAGAGATGATATCAAAAAGGAATCGAGTAAGTTTTAGCAAAATCACTGATGTTTTCGGTTAAGTTAGTATTGTATATCCTTTAAAAAGTGTTTGTAATTTCTGATAGCTTAAGCTCAGAAAAGATCT